AAAAATAAAAAACATTAGAATTTAAAATCCTGGTAAAGACATTAGAGGTATTCTGTATGTCATATTTGCTATCAGAATCTGTGATACAGAATTTGGAGCCTGTGTGTCCTCTTCCAGGATCTTTTTTTCCATCATTCCATATGCACTTAACGGCCCCTGTGCCCTAAACCCCTGTGACAGGCACACACTTTTCTTTTGTGTTGAATCTTAAGTTTTTATTTCATTTATTCTCTTGTTTGAGACAAAGGCCTCTTTGCCTTCCCTCCAAGAACAGAGCAGACAGACGGACAGCAGACAGTGGACAAACAAGAGGTCGCTGTTGTGTGTCACCTGGGGGTATATGTTTGAATGTGACAGCAAGGAGCTATGACAGCTCAAATAGCACAGAGTTGAACTCTGGGGAATCGGGAGCTTGCTGACCAGTGTCACAGTTGGAGAAGTGTGGCTGCCACACCTGTAGTCCTCCACAGAGGAGGTGTGCCAAGAGCTGGTCACAGACTAGCCTAGCAGCTGGCGCTGCCAGCTCTCAAAGGCCCCAGTCAGGAACAGTGGCTCTCCAAGTAGGAGCAGTGGGAGCCGGCCAGCCTTCGCTGCCAGAGGAGGGTCTCTAGCGGTGCGGCTGAGTCTGGCAGGTCGCAGTCATACTTTTCTTCTTTCCCCAGTAAGATCTGGGAGATAAATGGCTGTCCCGAGCCCGGAGGAGCAGACTTCGGGCTCAGAATCGGTCTAATCGTGGGGGGGGGGGGGGAGGACTCGTGCTGCACGTTTTTTATACAGCGCCTATTGGACCCTGATTGGCTGACTGTGTATGCAAATGAGGCATAAAAATGGGGCCCACCAGGAGAGAGCGTTCAGACCCAGAAAGGCAGAGAGAAAGCCCACAAAAACCAGAGCTTGTTCTCAATCAGGGACTCAATTCTATTCTGTTCCCCTTCCCCGGTGTTATAACAGAAAGAAATAAGTAGAAAAAGTAGAAGGGGAAAAACAAAACATGATTGTTCCATCAGTTCTTCGCTCCTCTTGCCTCTGAGATAAAACAGCCTGTTGTGCTTGGAGTTTGAGCTTGTTTGGGGCTACCGGGAAGTTTGTTCCCAGATGCTGCAATGGAAGGGACCCTGGGATCTCCACCTGCGGATGTCTCTTCCTTCCCAGGGCTGTCAAACACAACCTGTGGTGGCATCCAAAGCCGAGCATTTTCACGGCTATTCCATCCACCCACCACCAATCAGCTGACTTTGGGGCTGGGGGAGGGGGGGGCAGACAGGTGCTACTACTAACTCTACCAATAATGTATCTTTATTTAGTTTGAAAACTTAGAAAGCACAATGGTTAAAAGGGAAATCTTAATCATCCTTAAGTACAGAGACAGCCACCACCACCAGTATTTTTTGAGAGTATCTTGTCATCCCATTGTTCTCATTTTTGCCCATTCTTGCTTCATTCTTAGCACGGCCTTGGAGAAACCACCCCAGCCCTGATTCATGTTCTCCGTGATTGTGGGGTGGGAAGACGTGATTGTTGAATATGGTACAGAGAATTTTAGCTATAGAATCAGATGAATCTCAACTTTAAACATAGCTGTGAAACTTTCTTTAAAGGCTTAGTTTCCTTGTATGAAGGGGGAAAATATTCAGTGGCCGAAACCTCTCTTACCCTGTGAGATTGTTAGAAACGGTTGAGAATAAGGAAGTTAAGAGGCCTTGCCTAAAACAAAATCTAGCATTGGGCAAAAATAAAAACGTATTTTACGTTCTGTCTAAACCCTTAATCGGAAAGGATCCCGCACTTAACGTATTTAGAACTCTAAGGTAGTTTGGGACCTAAGACAAACAATAGAATTAGTATATGTACCAAAGGCATAAGGCCTCCCAGACAATTGTGTTAATATTAAGTAAATCAGAAGGCAGAGCAGTAAATATTTGAGCAAACTTTGTGTCTCGGGAGTGGGGTGACTCACAACCTCCCGCAAGTTCAGACAAAGTGGAGTTGAGGAAGAAATTACTGTTTTCCCAGTTACTCAGCAAAGCTTAGGGGAAGAGGTGAAAACAGGGGAAGGAAGGGCCTCCTAGGCCAACAATAGGTGACGTTTCCAGGAATGAGGCTTAAGGATCAAAGAGAAAGAGAAATTGATTAGCCCATTTAAAAGGAAATTAGGAAATAAGTAAAAAACACCTGGGTCTCCTTTGGTGACCAGTACTTACACGATCTCTCCGAGACCTTCCTGTTACTTAGACATCCACTAAACCAGTGAACTTCTAAACAAAATTCTGATAGGAACTATTTGCTGGCAATGTGTTCTGAGAAGCCTGGTATCCACAAGATGGTGGGTAACTCTGAGAGGCTAGTTTTACCTCCTAAGAATTCCCGTAGCTCGCACCTCTACACAAAAGGGGATTTGACTAGAAAGCTATGTGTTTCTTCCGTGTCCGAAATTGCTGATTCTGAGGGATAAAAGTCACTTTGCCAATTTGTACTCTGCAATTGGCAAAAGCCAGCAAATATGGAACCTTGCCCATTACCACCATTCAAAACAGCTGACATCCCGAGGGCCTGACTCTTATCTAAGCACCTCCTTGGGCGTTCTCTTGTCCCCACAGGCCTGCATAGCTCATCCCATGCTGAGAGAGAGAGAGAGAGAGAGAGACAGAGAGAGAGACAGAGAGAGAGACAGAGAGAGAGACAGAGACAGAGAGACAGAGACAGAGACAGAGAGAGATGCGTGTACACACGCACAGAGAGAGAGAGAGAGAGAGAAAGAGAATGAGATGTGTGCGTACACACGCACACAGAGAAAGAAAAAGAGAAAGAGATGTGCGCGCACACACACACAGTGGCACTAGGCACTCGGGGAAATGCAGACACAAGCAAATTGCATTGTGAAATTATCACTGGGTTAAAATCCTACATTAATATCCATATTCAAAAGCTGCATCAAATATTTGCTCTGTTCTAGGTGATAAAATGACATCAAGATACAAATATATCGCTCTTTAGATTTTAAATTTTGTTTTGTTTCTAGCCAACAGCTGATTTCCTTTTATATCTATGAAATGAGGAAATGCTCTCATGTTTTATATGTGGACACAATGTTGCTGTGATTCAAAAAACAAAAAAAAGAAAAAACAACCTCAAGCAACTCCAAATTGTTTCATGGTAAAATTACAAGCACCACCCCCCCCCCAGTGTTTTTGAGTCACTCATTTCAGATGTATTAGTCATATTCCTTAAGGCTGAGCCTCGTTTTATTAATTTCTGAAGTTTTCTCCTCATCTAAGGGTATCTGGAGTTCTGTAAGAGCGTTAGGACAAGATCAGCCTGTTCTCAACGTGACAAATTATACGGTTTCTATGTGAACATTGCCGCTCTTCATTCAGAGGCAGAGAGCATGAGAGCCGCGATGACTCACAGTTTCCCAACACTGGCAGAACTTGTTTGTTCTCCAGCCCCTGAAATGCCAGAAGAGAAGAACTCGAGTCTTCCCAAGGACAAGCCAATTCTAGAAGATCCCTTTTGAGATAAAGGAGTTTGAACTACTAGCCTACCACCTCAGCAGGAAGACAGATCAGCTGAGCAAAGAAGCAGGGCTGAGAAAGCCATTTTGTTAACCCTCGGGCTGCCTTTGACAAGCCAGTGTTTAAACTTTCTTCCCTGCTCAGACATCAAAGTGCCTTAGTAATGCTGATTTCAGTGATGAATACCTAAGTCTCGTAGAAGCAAATTTCAGACCTCGGAATAAATCAGATTCAAAACCATAGCGTGCCTGTGCTCAGCTGACAGGAAAAGCCTGTGAGAAAGGCTAGCTTCCTCTACTTGGCTGAAGTCTCTCCTTTCTCCTCAGCAGCCTCCTGTTCCCAGCGACACTACGTGCTTTTGTTTTTACACGACTGCGGACTGCGATGGTTAGAACCGCAGCCCACCTACCCAAATCAGCAGAACCGGTGTGTACAGAAGGGAGGAGGGAAAAAAAACAGACTTTAAGGTTCAATAGAATCATGTTGGGACTCTGGTATCTAAGCAACTCAGTTGTTCCCCTCTACCTCAATTTCTGCATCAATAGAAAAAGGATAATGAGATCTATCTGCAGACATTTGGGAAAACTGAAAGACAAATTTAAAGATAAAGTGCTATTCCACAGATGTTAGCTAATACCAACAACCCTTCTTTAAAATTGATGAAATTTCCTCACAAAGTAATTTGAATCAAGACATACCTAATATTACACACACACACACACACACACACACACACACCCCTTCTCAAAAATTGCCGAATACAGCTGATGGTTACTAGGGTCACTGGTGGGCTTCCCATGCCACACTGGATGGCCCCACACCCACATGCATACCGGCAGCACTAATTGGACTCAGAAGGTTTGGGGGTTTTTGTTGTTGTTTTGTTTGTTTGTTTTTGTTTTTTTAAGAGAGGGCAAAACAAGAAGTGTGGAGGGAAATGCGAGACTAAAGAAAATTAGAGGGAGGGAGTGGCCAGAAAGAAATAATAAGACACACTGTATACATGTATGCAAACTCCCCCAAAAAATGTTCTGAATTTTAAAAACTGCTGAAGAAATTTATCACACAAAAGAACTAATGAAAATTCTCGACCAGAGCCCCATCTCCAGTACAGTCAGCAACCTCAGTTTGCCATGCTAAGCTGAGCTCCCTACAGCGCCGTCCCAGCTGGCCCATCTCACTTCCGTCCTAAGTTCCTCAAGGTTGGTGGGCGACACTAAGAGGACGGATGAATGAGCACGGAAAGAGCTTCCTCCCACAGTCTTCCTACAGCTGACACCCACCTCCTCAGCCCCGTGGGCTTGCTAAGTGTCGAAGCACAGAGCTTGGTAACCAAGTCATCGGCTTCAAATCCTTTCTCAGGTGGGCGTGGGCAGATAGATGTAGAAATAAAGAAATAACTGCCGGGAAGACAACCACAGTGTAATCTGAGACGGTGGGAGGTTACAGACGCTGTAGTCAGACAGAGTCGCACTGCCTCGTACTGACCTTGCGCTCTTCGTCCTGTTTCCGAAACACTCGGCGTGTTTCTCCCTCCTCACAGGGAGTAGTAACAGCTCCGCAGGCAGTTTTTCTAGGGAAGGAAAGGGTGCAGAAGATGGAGAGCGACCTGGCCAGGTTCCGAGGACCTGGGCTAACCTATAGACATTAGTTTTCTTCTGCTGAGCACAGCTCTACTGACCTTAGAATAGGATTTGCTAGAAATGTATGGGTCACAAAGCTAAAAGCCCTGGAGTGGTCATTGTCCTCGTTGTCATAGCAATCACAACAGGAAGACATTGATAGGACGGACGGGCAGGGATCTCGCCTGCTCTCATGCTGTTGACTCGGATGTTGAAATGTAGAAAATATCCCCAATAATTTAGTCCCCCAAAAAAGGAAATGAGAGTAAATGAAAAGCAAAGATCTTTGTCCGTTGTGAAGCCGGTTCTACTTCCATACTGAACGGCCCAAACTGAAATACAGAGACATCTGAACAATTCACTCAGCTCTCAAAATCCAGCACTTTCTGAGTCAGAATAGGAAAGGGCAATGTTTATTGTGTTTATTTCCTGATAATAAAGACAGAGGAAAGGATATTATTTTGGAAATTTTAAGCGAAAACAAATACAAATAAAAAAATTAAATCAATCAAATTTATCTGGACCCAAATCATTGATATGGATGTTTCTTTGGGGTTTATGACAGATAAATGAAAATTTTCAAGAAAAATATTTTGAATCTTAAAAATCATGGAATAAAATTGTTCTAATTGCTCTAAAGGACAGAGATCCAAAAGTGATCAGCAACAACAGAAGCATATTTTTATTCTATTTATTTATTTATTCATTTGTGCTACATCTCCACTGCAGTTTCCCCTCCCTCCTCTCCTCCCATTCTCTTTCCCCAGTCATTCCTCCTCCAACAGAAACATCTCAAGACCAATACGCTGGCACTTAGCCCTTAGGAGATTGGGGCAGAAGGGTCATGACTTCAAGTCCAGCCTAATAAATCACAGTTTCCAGGATAGCCTAGAGTACACAGCAAGACCCTGTGTCGAGGAACATGCAAACACACAAACAAAGACGACAAATAATAAAAGAATGGGCTTAGAGATATGGGAAGGCCAAGTCTGAAATGACTAGAGGCCATCCTCATGGAGATGTAGGAGACTTCACAAATAGGTATATAAAAATAAAATATAGTGATATGTCCCACTCAGTTTCTAACATCTTAAGAATAGTTCTCTCAATCTTAAATATTGAAACATTGTTTTAAAGTTTTGTATTTTCTAATTTCATGTGTTATTTTTACATTTACATGTAACTTTTTAATTAAAAAAACTTGGGAGGAGAGACTACCTCAATGACCATCCCCTTAAGAGATATCACTTCCTATAATATTGAATCAAAGAACATGGAATCCTTTTCAACTCTTGACACACACTGAATTGTGCTCCCAAAGGCTACGCTGAATTAAAGTTTCACCCTTCAGCTATGAAAGCATCTCTCTACTTCACTGTATTTTTCCGAAATAGATTATTGGTTTCGATTACTCCTTCTAATTCTCTAGGCAAAAAGTGTTGGTTAATGTTTAGCATCCATTTCTTACATTTTGAATGAGTTTAAACATCTCGTCATAGCTTTGTATCTCTCTTGAATTTTTCCTTTGTAAAGTATTCCCTTGCATAGTCTGAATGGATTGCTTTGGACGGCCACACTTTTTACATTTTTATTATTATTTTATGTGTGTGGGTACTCGGCTTCCTTGTATGTCTGGGTACCACATGTGTGCCCAGGGCCACTGGAGGCAAGAAGAAAGCATCAGACTTGTTGGAAACTGTTAGAAATAGTTGTGTGCCTTCACATGGGTGCTGGGCATCAAAGCTGGCTCCTCTGGAAAGGCAGCTAGGGCTCCTAATTGCTGAGCTCTTAAAGCCCCTTAAAAATAACATTTAGCGTTAAAATAATGACTCCAGCATCTAACACAAATTGTATGCATCATACATTGTATTCATCAGTTTTCATGTGAACCTTCATGAAATTATCATCAATACTCAGCTTAGTCACAAGAAAATTCAGTATTAAAAGATGGGATGGGCCGCTTACAATCATACCACAGTCAGTTTGGAGCCAGCATTTGCACCCATCCTGATTCCAAAGCACGCACAGAGCAGTCACGTTCAGTACTTAATCTGAGAGAGGAGAACAAGTGCAGAGGCCATAGAAAATTTGAAACCTAAACTCAGAATCGACCCAGGTGCAAATTCACTAGAATGAATACACAGAGTTCGGAAATAGCATTTGAGCTATTTGGCTCCTTTACCAAACTGGTTGTAAGGGACAAAGTTTCACAAGATGCTGGAGACATTTGGAAGGACTCTTGAAGAGTTGTTTCTAATGTGAACTAAACTGCCATGCCCCCATCCCCCACAAAAAGAAGTTAATTTGTTTTCAGATTGATGGATTCGCTGGTGTTGAAATTACCCAGTCACAGATATACTAGTTTCCTACATTTTTTTTATTTATTTATTTATTTATTTATTTATTTATTTATTTATTTATTTATTATGTATACAACATTCTGTCTGTGTGTGTGCGCCTGCAGGCCGAAGAGGGCACCAGACTCCATTACAGATGGTTGTGAGCCACCATGTGGTTGCTGGGAATTGAACTCAGGACCTTTGGAAGAGCAAGCAATGCTCTTAACCTCTGAGCCATCTCTCCAGCCCCCTAGTTTCCTACATTTTAAGCAGACACTGGAAAGAGACTCTGGAGTATCTAAAATTAGGGTTTGGAAGGCTTGTTTTCTGCTCTTTTATAGTAAAGGTTTTCCAGAAATGAACAGGGCCTAAAATCAGTGTTTATCCTCTGCTATCACAAAACATTTTTAGAAAGGACCAAGGTGTCCTCCCTCCCTCCGTCCTACAGCTAACACCTACTTCCCTGTATCTTCAATAGATTTTTGTTTTCTGAAATCTGGAACATCAGGGATCTTGCCCTGAGCAATCACTAAGATGACACTGGCAATGTGGGATCAAAGTCTCACCCCATCAAGTGGGTGTCTGTGCCTGTGGCAGGGACCTGGGAGATGCTCTCCATCAGGAAGAATAGGCCTGGAACTAAGTGAGGAGTTCAGCAGGTTGTACAAGGTCTTTGTCAACGCCTTAAGGTCTTTGTCAATGCCTTGGGAAGATTCTATTTTCTTCAGGTTCTGGGCAGAGAGGCAAAGCCAAGACAACAGTTGTCCCAAGCCTTAAAGAGTGAAGTCAAGCCCCAACATTTCCTATACATTCCCACCACCAATAAGAGCCAATTACTTCTTTCCTGTGTTGACCATGTAAATCTTTAGGATGCGTGCACATCACCCTTGAAAAACTGAACGAAGAGAGGATAAAAGAGACCTGAGGGACTGCTCCACCTGGATACAGCCATGGCAGCAGAGAAGCATGTCTTTGGGGGATCCCGTCCTGCAACCTGGGAAGAAATGGGTGGCAATGACCAACTGCTCCCCAGACTGTGGAACTTAATGCCCCTCTAAGCACCCCAAAGCCTTGTAGTTTTAAAGGCAACTGTGCTCAATAAAACTGTTGCAAAACATCTTACTGGTCTACCTTTACTATACAGAAATTAACACAATACTTTTTATAGCAAAATTAGTTATCATTTGATAAACTTTATTATGTGCCAGGAGTCAGGATGAACATGTCACGTAGGCAATCATCCTTAATACGAGTAGTTTACAGAGGGTTGGTACCAACCTACTGTCTAACTCACAGTTGTGGCTTCCCTCTCCCTCCCTCCCTCCCTCCCTCCCTCCCTCCCTCCCTCCCTTCCTCCTTCTCTCTCTCCTCTCACTTACCCCAGCAATTTAAATAAGGTAGCATTCACTTGAAAATAAATCTAGGTCTGTGTAGTGTCAAAAAGCAAGAGCTTAACTATTATGCCTTCTCAGATGAAGCAGAAAATATAGTTTTATTATAATTATGTTTTATATGTTAGCTATAACATGCAAACTTAGGTGCCTTAGCAAGCACAGGCTCCTTTGCTCCCATCCTGCCTTTCCTTCTTGATAGCGTTTACTTCTTGCTTCAGGTTCTAATGCATTATGCTGTTGCTTCTGTTTGATAGTCTTTTTTTTTTTAAAGCCTTTGGAGGAAATATAAACAGATGATATAAGCCATCTATCTATGGTTTATAGATAGATACATAGATACAGAAACGCAGAAGTATATACACATAAATTACTTTAATGTCCAAAGATTTAACAAAATAAAAAAAAATACATTTACAATCAAATGTCAATTTAGCCCTGAAGTAAAATGTCCTGGTGCTTAGTAATGTATCCCAGGCTGCCGTGTTGAACAAAGATAGGAAGCAGAGCATATAGTGTACCTAAAATGGTATTACCTTTAGTGTTTATTGCTACAACAGAATTGATCCTGTCTGTTGCAACTCTAACAACGTAAGGTAGAGCAAATCTCCATGAAAGCTCTTCTGTCAGCAGAAATGATTAAGACTTTTACCATAGACCTTATTCATGAGCACCCATGAAAGCAGCATGCCCACTCACGGTGATTAGTGAGTGGGTCAGCCTGAATCATAAGAAAGAATGCACCTGACTGAATCACCAGCCCCACTTCCTGTAGCACCTGGTTTTCCTTGGACCTCTGCCACTCACAGACGTCCCCAGACAAAGCCTGCTCAGCTTATGAAATCTGATAAGGTCACAGCAGCGAGAGGCAGTGTGGATTCACCAGAGCACTGCTCCAGGAATCAGGAAATCCACTGCTATCTAAAACCAATAGAGGAATATCCATAGACGTTTATAGCATCATTTCCAGGCATTTAGACAAAGCCTCTGTATTGGGGTACTGGAAAGCAATGCAGGAAACTCCTAATGTATGTTCAAATGAGTACAAGGGTTATTACATCTCAAAGCAATTGACGTACAATGTGTCTGATAAACGTGGCTATTGGACGTGAGTCATCAATCCCACTCCTGTTCTCCTATGAAAATTATCCTCGTTAGATGGCCTAAGGGCCACTCGGTACCTCCTTCCCCCACAGCTTGATCTGTTATTCTTATTCCTGCCATCCAATGCAGTGAGGGAAAACTTGTCTGTAAGAGAGTAGGAAAAAAAATCATTGAATAAATCGGTTGAAAATCATGTTTTGAGGCCTTTGAGATGGTTCC